GCCAAATGCATCTTTGCCAACAAACTTCCTTAATGGTTCAGTGAATTTAATACAATGTGAGCTCTCTTGCAAGACGTTGCAATATTGGAGATGTGGCTAGAAAGGAATGACTAAGTATTCTACAACAAAAACTAGCCATTAGAAAAGATAACAACTCAAATATGACAAAGAGACACAGACCATGCCCACATTTCGTAGAACAAGAGCCTAATAAACATTCTAAATGAAGCCTTCAACAATTGGTACAAAGCATTTAATACAAGTTGAAAAAACAATAGTATCATATGAAGTAAGTAAGGTAGGAAAATAAGATGGAATTCCAACACACACTACAATTGTAACTGAGTAGCTCCTCATTAGTGAGGTTATAACCTTATACTTTAGGATCCAAGAAGTTTTGTGTTCTAATTGGGATTTTTGAATCCCTATTAGACCAAACATTTGTGATGTCTGCCTACAATAAAATCTTTGTTTCATTTGTGCCAAAATAATAATAATAATAAATAAATAAATAAATAAATAAAATCTATTTATTTACATTGTGATCAGTTTGTTGGTATTATTCTATGAAAAGTGTTACCAATTGTCAGGTATGGATGGATGTGGATTGCACAAAACAAAGCAGGAAATGAGTTGGGAAGTAGACTTGAATTAGTACCCAGCTTGCTGGAAAGAATTTATTGACTCTTTGATTGTGGGCATGTTTGTGATACATAGTGAAAGGTATTTATAGAATTATACTGTTCTATTTTGAGTATTTATGAATACTATTTATGTATGACCCTGTCAAATATGAATGAGAAATCTTTAGAGCATTATTTATTGATTGGCCATTTTTAATTGATGCTCTTATAATTTTTTTTTTTTTTTTTTTTTTTTTTTGTTTACTTTTTTACTTAGGTTTCTATTGTGTTTATAAAGTGAATTTTTAATTCTCCAAATTATGATGCTATAAGTTACTTTGTGTGTGTGTGTGTGTGTTTTGTTTTTGTTTTTGTTTTTTTTGTTTTTTTTGTTTTTTTTAGTTGTTCTTAATTGTTGTTAATAAACATTATAGTACAGGGGCCTAATGAAGACGACTACATTGGAATATGGAAGTATATAAAAAACTAAAAACTAAATCCCTCTGAGAGAAAGTAGCAAGTAGGTAAAAATTTATAGCCAAACATAAAAAAAAATAAAAAATAAAAAGGTGAATTTTTTACAATTGTTAATTTGGTTGAAACAAAGAAAAATATTCTTAAGATTTTGAAGCTATTCTGTGGATTAGTTGAAAATGTAACATTTCATTCTTTGATAAACAAATAGTAGTCATCAGGAGAAATAATAGCTTATTTGGTAAAAATAGAAAAATCTCTTCTAATCTTTATATTCACTAAGAAGCATGGCATTCTAAAAACATAAATAAATTTTAGAACCAAATTATAAGCTTGACTATAAAGTCTTTTACTTCAAAATAAAAAAAACTATGTTAATATGGCTGATATATCATAGAGATATAGCAATGAATAATAAAGACTAAATAATTCAACAATTTATTTGAATATTACTCGATTTTCTCTCTTAAAAAAAAAGTAAATAAATATTTTTCTTTTTTCCTTTTTTTTTTTTTCTTTTTTTATTAAATGTTAAAAAAACTAAATATATTTTAGAACTGAATTTAAACAAGAATCATCAGAGGCTAAGAACATTCTGTTTGAAACAACCAATTTTTTATTTTTCATCTTTACAAATTAAAAGAACAATAATAACATTTATTTGTTACAATTACTATAATCTTTTGTAAATAAAAAAGATTAAAACAAATCACATAGTTAATGCCATATATTCTTAATATTTGCACGTATACTAGAAGACCAAATAAATTTCTTTTTATACTTCCAAATTTATAAAGTATAAATTATCTTCAGGAACTAGTTTATTTATTTATTTATTTATTTATTTATTTTTATATTTTATAAAATAACCCATTTTTTTTCAATACTTGAAAAAAAATATTTTTTTCTTATGTTTGAAAAACTTCATATAAAAATATAATTTTAATTTATTTTTTTATTAGAAGATAATGATTTTTATTTTATTTTATTTTTCCTTTGACATACCTAATATACTTTGTGCACTACATATATTCTACAGAATTTTATATTTTATTTTATTTTTTAAAATTTTATTTTGAAGAAATTACAAAGACAATATGTATGTTTAAAAATGAAATTGAGATAATGAAATAATTTACATAACATTTTGTTAATTTGAAAATTATATACTCATAAAATGTTTTAAATTCTTGTAACTATTACTTTCTCTATAAAAGTACTAATAACTACAAAAATATACCTATAGTAAATTGAATATTTATTTTTATAAAATAAATATGTAAAAGAGATGTTCATTGAAATAAAGATTTCTTATCATTATCATCTTGTGAAAGTGGTGAATCAAGTTGAAAATTAATTCTTGTGCTTTAAAAATGAATTGTTTTCTTAGAGTTAAATGTAGTCATATTGATATCATTATTTAAAAAAATCTTAATATTTTGGATGATATGGCAATATTTTCACCTATTATTTATATATATATATATAATAAGAAAAAAAATTAAAATTAAAAAATATTTTCTAATAGAGTTATTTTCAAAAACCTCACACTCCAAAACACATTTCTATATCTTTGATATATATATATATATATATATATATATATTTATATATATATATATATATATATATATATTTATTTATTGATGCAATATAATCCAAAACATCAATTACATGTTCATAAGTTATATATAATTTTAATATAGTGTGTGGTCCTAGTTCTTGTAATTTTTTCATTACCAATTGAAATAATGTTTTGTTTTGTTTTTAATATATTGAAATGTCATTTGAATAGATGATTATAAAGTTATTTAATTTTTAAAAAAAATATATCATTTTTTATATATTAGAATGTTATAGATATATTTTCAAGTTGAAAAATACAATTCTATATTTAATTTACTTATATTTTGTATTAAATAACATCTTTGACAGATTTCTCTTATTAATAATATATTTGTACACACCTCTTAATTTAATCTTTGAATAGGTATTGAAACTATGTATATATATATATATATATATATTCGATTCAAAAATTTGATAGAGAATTCTTATAAACTTCTTATAAAAGTTTCATAATTGATATCAATCTATAATAATCCATGTTTCTATTTTAAATAAATAAGAGAAAAAAATATGAATATCATGGTACTTTGCATTATTTTAAAAATTACCCTTCTAATTTTGGAAATTGTGGAAATACCCATTCAAGGGTATTTTTCAAAATATTTGTAATCACATAGATATTTATCAAACTTTCTCTTGTTGTTGTTATTAACACAATCATTTTTGCACATGCCAAATTTGACCACTATGCTATATCTTGTGCTCCTATATCATGTGCAAACCAAAATGTGGAGAAAAACTCATGTCACACATGCACATGTGCATACAATTTTGAAGTAGGCAAGATCAGTAATTGTTGGAAAACATGGAGTTGATTCCCTCAATCAAATCTTTTTGAACAATCTAAAATGAATGTAAGCATCAAATCTTGTACATCATTGTTAAGATAATATCAAATTCAGTTGTTTTGGTTTTTATTATTTCAATCAATATTGCATGCAAGTTATTAAAATTTAGTAGCATATAATGTATTATATATTGTGGATTTTGTGATTTTATTTCTATAACCTTTTATCTATTATTATTCTTCTTAGGTTTCTAAAGTTTCCATTAGAAAATCTTTAAAGTTTAAGAAATATTTAAAAAAATTCTTTAACAAAGGTATAAATAAAGTTAGCACAATATCCTTAAACAAGGTGCCTACAAATTCTACTCGAGTAAAACCATTCAAATACCTTGAAGAATGTACACACAAAAACAATTATATATGCTACAAAATATTTATTTTATCTTGTTTTATTTTAAATTTCTTCAAACTTATAATCATACTATTTTTGGATTTTTTTGTTACTAATCAATTGTAATTTTCATATAAATTTTAAAAGAATCTTCAAGCATGTATGTAGGTTATTGATAGTTTAACTATGTTGTAAAAAATTACAATTATTTATTACTTATATTTTTATATATTTTTTATTTCTAATTTTTAAAGATCAAAATAGTTTATTAAAGAACAATACTTTTATTTGAATTTTTAAAAGAAACAAATAAAAAGGTAACCTATTGTATAAGGTGTAACTACTTTAAATGCAATGTATTGCCATTTATCCTTCCAACACTCTTGTGATTTCTTAGCAATTGATGCATTACATTTTTTAATAACATTCACATAAGTTTTATAATTGTTTATTTGGATGATATTTTTCAAGGATTGTGTACATTACGTTCTAGAATAATAATATAAGTAAAAACTTTTTGCCAAACTTTTGTACAAATTCTTTGTTGAATTTTTAGCTTGCATCACTTCAGAATAGAACAAAATTATATAGATAAAAAGAAGATATATACAGCATTTTGAAGTAGAATTCGTTCATCAAAATAAACAAATGCAATGATTCTATAAATTTGCAAGTTTTGTACAAATTTTGCAAATTTCATTTAAATTTTTTCAATTAAAGGTTGCTACTGCATTTGCATGCATAACTGGAAGAAATGGATTTCACACAAAATAAGAAAATTAAGAAATACTTTTTGGAAACTGGAATATTTTCTAAAATTGAAAATAAACTAATACACAAAGTTGAAAAATTTCTTAATTCATCTAAAAGCATTCATGAGTTTTATCAACAATATTCTCAAAACCAAACATAGCCTAATAATAAGTTATACAATTTCAACACAAATTCAGTAAAAAAGCTTCAAATAAAACTTAATCACCGAGATGTATAGAAGAAAAAAAAACTACCAAGACCTTTCCCAGTGTTAAGTGCTAGTGTTGGAAAACTAAACAAATCCACACATCAACTCACAGAAATAAAATCCATAACCAAGCCAAAGCGCCGCCCACAGTTGCTGATTGAAAAAACCCAACAAATTATGTTTTCCAATCTACAGAAATGCTTTTTTCGGAGACATCTCTTTTTGTGTTTCGAGCCAATTTTGTGTGATGTTGTTGGGTTAGTTTTTGTTCTTGGGTTTGTGATTTTGTAAGACGGATTGTTGCGTCTGTGAAGTCATTGTCGAGCTGGGTCGTGCAGCAGAGCACTGCTTCAAATAATTTCTGATCTGTTCATGTTTCCAGTTGCTCTGCTTTGATTTGGCAGTGTTCTCTATTTCCCCTGAGATTTGCGGAGCTGGGTTGTGCAGTCTGTTCCTTGAGAAGCATCTGTGACTTGTATGCCACTCGATGACGCATTTCGTGGAGTTTCGCGTGGATATTTGTGTTGGGTAGAGAGGAAAAAAGTAGCGCAGTGCAGCTGATGTGCAGAGATTCTGCTGTTGTTTTCGAGGAGGAGAAGCAAATCGAGCAGCCGAAGCAATTGCCTGATCATCGTGAGAACGTGCTGCTTCTGTCACCGCGAACAAGGGATTCTAGTTGCGCGGGTCAGGGTCGATGGTCTTAGCCAATGTAGGGTTTAGGGGTTGAGGTGGTTCGTCTGTGCTTCTTATAGCCACTCGATCAGGCGGTTTTTTGTAAAGGTTTATTCTGAAGAGATTTGAAAGACAGGAGCAACGGGTCACCAGCCGTCATGGAGGATGTGTAGGTTTTTTTTATTTTTTTAATGTGTTGTTCAGAATTTGGGTTATGTTCTATATTGCTCTTGTGTAGCGCAATGCCGTGCATTAAATGCGTTGAGACATTTGCTGAGATTTTGTATGAGGAATACGAACATGATTATTTGCGCCATGTCACATTATTTTGTGTTGCATTCTCATTGTTAGACCCCAATATTTAACCATCTCTCAATGTCTATTTTTTCACTAGTTTTCGTATCATTGAAATTGGTGCGTTTGTAATGAAGTCGTGTAATATCCAGTAGATGCTTATGTTGTCACTTAAATCCAGTCTTCGACGTTTACAGATTTAATACCCCTCAGACATGCAAAGTTGAGCTGGAGGTTCTGGGCCATAAGCTTCTTCTTGCTCAGGTTCGCTACATAGTCCTCTTCCTTTACAGTCTGAAGGATCTAGTAAACTGCATCGAGGCGTTTCAAATGTTTTGGGTTGTAATTTGAAGCGGATTGATGAACACATCTTCTGTCAAACAACTTTTCACACTTAAAACATGGTCCTGTACATCAAAATTTGTTGCAGCTTGTTCTTTTGAGAACATATTTTTTTTAAGGCAATGTTACTATCCGTGTCCTGATTTATAAGTTCAATTAAGTCATATTTGTGGAAGTTGTGCCCTTGGGGACTTCCATTACATCTGTGCTCAACCTGATCGGAATCATTGTTCGTCTTTGACAAGTTTTTTTGAAGCTTACAGCGATTTCGGTGTGTGTTTGGTGCTTACTAGTGCAGGACCCAAATTCTCAACATCATGGTACCACGGTATGGGACTCCTCGATTGTATTCGCCAAGTTTCTGGTGAATTTCCATCATTACCTTCAGATCATGGTTCATAGTGAATTATCAGGCTTTCGTGTAGGAATCATTACGAGCCTTTTCGGTTCTTGCCGTGTATCTCTTGAAAGTGCTACATGAAATGTCGATTGCTTATTATTTTATTATAAATGGTTCATTGTCTGCGTTCCTATCTATGCTTAGAATACTGTGGAAGCGGGTTAGAGCCAAGCTACGTCTTTGGTGTTCTGTCCCATGGTTGTGTGCCTTTGAAAATCAAACTTGGCTAATGTACTGTCGATTGGATCTCTGCAGGAGAAAAACAGCAAGAAAGGAGAGTTCAGCAGGGCAAAGCTTCAAAATAAGCGCGTTGTTGAACTTGGAGCTGGTTGCGGTTTATCAGGATTAGGTTGGACATACTTCGTGTGGTCATGTATGATGATAAGTTCAGATCATCTCTACAGGTGGAGATTACTTAATGGATTCTGAATTGGTTTTGAAGGATCGTAGTGAATATTTGCAGGGATGGCCCTGCTTGGTTGCGAGGTGGTGGTGACGGACCAGGCAGAAGTGTTGCCCTTACTACGAAGAAACATGGAAAGTAACATGTCCCGGGCTAAATACTCTGCCTCAGAATATTCTCATTTAGGTATCACTTGAGTCTTGCTTTCAAAGTTCATAACTGCTTGTAACCTTCTTAGCTTCTGAATGTACTTACGTTTTCAGACGCTGAAGTTTGGTTATTGCAGGTTTTCATAGCTCTTGGTGGATGTATGCAGGTCCTATTGGGTCAGTGGAAGTAGCTGAGCTGGACTGGGGTAACCAACAGCAAGCTGAGGCCTTAAAGCCTCCCTTTGATTACATAATCGGCACAGACGTCGTACGTGGTTCGACTTATCTTAAGAATTGTGCTCTTCATGGTTCTGGCATGTCTTGGAAGCTCCATGTGTCGTCTATGTATGAATTATGTAGACAATTTCATACACAAATATAAATGAAAATTCGTGGGCTACTGCATTGCAAAAGCATTTAAATTGGGATCCGGGCAGAGAATATATTTATAATAAATTCTGGTTGTATGAAGGTGTACAAGGAGCATTTAGTACCACCTTTGCTCGAATCGGTATTAGCTCTTTCAGGTCCCAAGACAACCCTGGTGGTATGTTCACTTGTTCGCCTGGTGTTATTCTTATGCAGTTTGAAGTTGCATCAATTTTTACAAAGGTTTCACACCTGGTTCTTTAACTTTTAGTGCGATGTGGATTTGACAGTTGGGGTATGAGTTTCGGGACAGCGGTGTCAAGGAACAGCTTCAGAAGCTATTTTCATGTCATTTTTCAATCAAGAAGATATCCCCTTCAAAGGTCGGTTACTAAGTATCTATCCATGTTCATGTGAGGAATAATCCTGAGCTTTTGGTGCAATGTTGCGTGCATAGTCCTGTTACATTTCAAGTGTATATAGACTTGACAGATAATACTGTAATCAGCACACAGGGGCCTTGGCTCAGGTGTCGTCCGACTTTGGTATAGAAATGCAAGTTCTGCTTGAGATAGTTCTTCCGACGTACTTTCGTTTGTACTGAACTTGAATCGAACAACTGCAGATGGATGCGAAGTATCAGCACAGCAACATCGAACTTTACATCATGCGGTTTTTATCTTTGTCTCTATGATCGATGCTCGGATGTGGCTTGCAATCTAGATTTTAGATGTTCGTTCATTTATAGCACAATGCGAGAGTTTGGAAATGGTTTGATTGGTCTTGCTAAGTTTGATGCAATAGAATTGGGATACAAAGCGGCTGTGAATCTCTTTGTAGGCTTTTATGTAGATTGTGTATTTAAACTTTCCAAACTATGTAACTTTTACGTATTGCCACTTTCTTCAGATTGAATCGGTATGATTCAACACATGATGACAAATCATTACTCGAGCAACGGTTCCCAAATTCGCAACAATCAACTTCTGACGAAGTAGATTGCAGTACTGTCCAAGACTTTGAAACTAAGTTAATTGCCTCAACTAATGTCGAAGGAAAGCCATCGAAAGCAACTAGCGGCGTTGATGGGAGCGAGGCTTCGTTCAGCAAACGTTGGGAAGCAGGAAGGGTTGGAGCAATGGCAGCAAGGCTTCTGCGTGATGTACAAATATCACCTACTTAAAGCCACACACCGGCTTTGGTTTTCTGTTTCAAGGTGTGGATGTTGCTGGCGTCGGCGATGACGTTCAAATTGCTCTCTTGAAATGTAATTCACAGTCTTAGAGGGGCGTGTTAGTGTTGGTGAGCCATGTCCCTTCTATCATCTTTACGTGGAAGAATGAAAACATGCAAAGTGGCTCGACACTTGGGGTTGTACATTGTAGAATGTTTTTTTGTACAGCCATCATGGGTAGAGAAACATTTGGTGCGTGAATTCCATGTCAAGCCTTGCACTCACTGGATTAATGGATGTGGTTAGTAAGAATCAATCTTAGGCAGTGTTGCTTAGAATAAATATTTGAAATTCATTTGAAATTAGTATTCATCCAAATGAAGAGTTTGGACAGGTTTGACTTTTTTTTAATGTAAATAATTAATTTGGGGGTTTGAAGGGAATGAAAGTAATCAAAGTCCTGAGAAATATAGATGAGAAAATGCCTTGGGGTGAAAAGTGCATGGAAAGATGAAGTGGTTCTAAACTAAATCTGATAATTAGTACATAGTAAAGCCAAATGCATGTATCGCTGGCCAAAGAAGGATCTAATTTTTTTAGGTGTATATAATTTTTTTATTTTATCATGAAGAAGAGGTTTTGTAGCAAATGATATATATTGAAAATGTAAAAGTATTTATGTACAATAGAGCATTGTTAATATCAATTTTGTAAAGCTCTTCGAAGTGTAGGGAGTTTTAGATGAATTTTTTCAATGGACTACTATTTGTAGGATGCAAACATAGGAGACATTAGAAGTAGTAAAGAAAGAATTGATTTGTACACATTAGTTCTTAGAATCAAATCTTTGTAGATAAACTTTTTTATTTGGAAGATGTACATGTTTTTTTCTTCTCTACATTTTTAGCATGCTCTTTGCTAGGCAACATCTCTTTTATCATCATGTCTTATAATTGCATTCATCATTCTTTTCCTTTCAATACAAACATACATAATAGTATTCATATTTTAGACTTTTTTTAGTTTAAAAAATAAATAAATTTGTTTAATATAAAAACTTTTGAATTGTCTTAGATGAATACTTGTAAAACATTCAAAATCCATCATTAGATATATAGATTTCAATAATAAATGAATTGGTCAAAAAAAATCCACAAAAAACTAACTATTACAAACTCAACTTAAAAACTAAAATAGCCAATATTCTAATATCTACTACTTATAACTTTTTAGAATAATTTGGTTAGACATTTGGAATTGACAATCTTAAAATAAAGAAGTTGGTGAATTCAAAATTTACAAAAATATTCCTATAAATAAATTCAAAATCCTAAAATCAAAGCAACTATGATTTTTAAACTAAAAACTTGTAGAATATGTTTTCTTACACCATTAGAATCCTACATACTAAAAATACAGATAAGTTAAGTCAATTTTAAAAAATAAAAATATTAAAAAACTTCACTCCTATATAAATCATATCTTAATTATTTAGAAGCTATTCACATTCTTACGTGTCAATCTTCTTTAAACGTAACAACTTATAAGATTTAATTTTAAAGTTCTACAATATTCTACACTTCTAAAAATCCAACACTTCTAATGTAATTATAATTTCCAATCTACTCCAAAACTCCTCTAAAGTCTCACATTCTTTAATCGTAAACTTCTTCAAACATATTGAGTTTCCAAAGTAATTAAATTTCATAATCTACTTGGAAACTCCTCCAAATCCTCACATTCTAACATATTGAGCATCTTCAAATATGTCAAGTTTTTGAACTCTTCTTCCAAGCTTATTAATTTTCTATACTTTGAGAAATCCAATTCTTTCAATGTAATTAGATTTCCCAATCCATTAGGAAACTCTTCCAAATCCTCACATTCTGACATATTAAGCTTCTTCAGATATGCCAAGTTTTCAAACCCTTGTAACTTCTTTATCTTTTTACACTTTGAGAAATCTAATACTTCTAATGCAATTAGATTTTCCAATCCACTTGGAAACTCTTCTAAAGCATCAAATCTCTACATGATTAGTTTCTTCAAACAAGTCAAGTTTCCAAACCCTTCTTACAACTTCTTTATCTTTGTACATTTACAGAACCACAATTCTTCTAATGCAATAAGATTTCCCAATCTACTTAGAAACTCCTCCAAAGCCTCATATTTACTTATGACTAGCTTCTTTAAATATGTCAAGTTTCCAAACCCTTCTTGTAAATTTTTCAGATTTCTACACTTTGAGAAATTCAATTCTTGTAATGCATTAAAATTATCCAATCTAATAGAAACTCTTCCAAAGCATCACACCCCCACATGTTAAGCATCTTCAAACATGACAAGTTTCCAAACCCTTCTTGCAACTTCTTTATCTTTGTACATTTATAGAACCACAATTCTTCTAATGCAATAAGATTTCTCAATCTACTTAGAAACTCCTCCAAAGCCTCATATTTACTTATGACTAGCTTCTTTAAATATGTCAAGTTTCCAAACCCTTCTTTTAAGTTTTTCAAATTTCTACACTTTGAGAAATTCAATTCTTCTAATGCATTAAAATTATCCAATCCAATGGAAACTCTTCCAAAGTATTACATCCCCACATGTTAAGCATCTTCAAACATGACAAGTTTCCAAATCCTTCTTGCAACTTCTTTATCTTTGTGTATTTATAGAACTACAATTCTAATGCAATAAGATTTTCTAATCTACTTGAACTCCTCCAAAGCCTCACATTCAATCATTACTAGCTTCTTTAAACATGTTAAGTTTTCAAACCCTTCTTGGATTTTTTTTAATTTTCTACATTTTGAAAAATCTAATTCTTGTAATGTAATAAGATTATCCAATCCACTTGGAAACTCATCCAAAGTCTCACATTCCAACATGATTAGGTTCTTCAAACATGTCAAGTTTCCATATCCTTCTTGTAACATCTTTATCTTTGTGCATTTATAGAAGTACAATTCTTCTAATGCAATAAGATTACTTAATCCACTTAGAAACTCTTCCAAAGCATCACATCCCTACATGCTAAGCTTTTTCAAACATTTTAAGTTTCCAAATCCTTCTTGCAACTTCTTTAGCTCTGTGCACTTCCATAAGTACAATTCTTTTAATGCAATATGATTTTTCAATCTACTTGAAAACTCCTCCAAAGCCTCATATTCAATCATGGCTAGTTTCTTCACACATGTCAAGTTTCCAAACTCTTCATGGATTTTTAAAATTTTCTACACTTTGAGAAATCTAATTCTTTTAATGCAATAAGATATCTCAATCTACTTAGTAACTCCTCCAAAGCTTCACATTCATGCATGATTAGCTTCTTTAAACATGTCAAGTTTCCAAACCTTTGTAATTTTTTTAACTTTCTACATTTTGAGAAATCTAATACTTCTAATGCAATTAGAATTTCCAATCTACTTAAAAACTCTTCCAAAGCCTCACATCTACATATGTCTAACTTCTTTAGAGATGTTAAGCTTGTGATCTCAAGTGATATTATCTTCAAGCTAGTATACTTATTGATTATTAGCTCCTTCAAAGAAATAAAATTTATCCATCTTTTAGGAAGTGCTTCTAATATTGGATAATTTTCAAAATAAAGAGCAACCAAGGATGTCTTGTTGCATAAGTTGGTTGTCAATTTTTTCAAATTTTTATGGATCCAAAGACCAACAATTATCAACAATTGTAATTCTTATGAACAAGCATTTTGCAAATTTGGTCTTTTACCACTCTCTATATTTATTTCATAAATTTTAAGTTTGTATTCACCACCAAAAGATTTTGTTCCCAAAATAATCTCATTACACATCATGCCAAAACTAAACACATCCACTTTCAAAGCATTTACATCTAGCTAAGATTTTCTAATTATATTCTTTTTTATAACCTTTGGGGCCATATATCTAATTATACTTAAATTTCTTCCTCCTATACATATTTCTGGATTATCCTTCACTTCTACCTTTGAATTATCAAAATCAAGTAACTTCACATATACATATGTCATGTCATTTAAGTTTGGAACATCAATTAAATTAACAATAATATTCTCAGGCTTTAAGTCTCGATGTGCTATCTTCATGTCATACATGTAACACATTCCACATGCAATTTGTAGCATAATATGTATTGCAATTACTTTTAGAAGTGGCCCTCTTTCTTTAATTGATATATATATATATATATATATATATATATAATCATCTTTTTTTGTTCCATATCATATTCAAACTCTTTTTTTTCTTCAAAAAAATCACAACAAAAAAACTTGATGATGTTTGGATGACTTAATCCATCCAAAATGCCAACTTTTAAAAAACTTTTTTATATTCATTTGATAAATCAACAATAAGAATAACCTTAGTTGCACTCTCCAAATCCAACCATTTTGTTGAATACACTACTACATCTCCTTGTCCTTTTCCACTCAATAGAATAGGTTGTCTTCAATAATTATGATAAAGATACTCATCAAGAAAAACAATAATATCCAATCCACCTCCTTTAGCCTTTTCAATACCTCTTAATCGTCCTATAAGATAATGTGCAAGTTTCACATCTTTACTTCCAAGTAGTTGATGTAGTAAAATTCCATTAAGCATCTTAAGCAATGATAATAAATCTTGATCAACTTCATCAGTGCATGTTGGAAAAAATGTCGTACATCTTTTAATTTCAATAATCTCTTCACTTTGAGCAAGGTAATAATATTGAGAGATACCACAAATGGTATCAAAACAACATTCAAAGTCCATAAGAAGATCTTTGAAAGTTTCTTTGTTATTAATGTGCAACACTACAATCTTAAGCCAATCTTCCTTACAACATTCTTCAATCAAGGCTCTTGCTTAGCATACAATTTGAAACAAGTCTTTTTTTACTCCATCAAATACATTTGTGTAAGATGCACCAATAATGCTATGAATTCTTTCAATATCCTTTGAAAAGTTTTGCAATAGAATCTTATATTGTCTTTCATTCAATGCCCCTTCTCTCAATGGTATTATATTTTTTGTTATAATTTCTATTGATAATTGTAAAAAATCTATTTTATAATACTTTAACAACCTTAATTGATTTAATTAGAAATTGCATCAATATAAAATTTGAAAATAATTGGGATTGCACAATATCTCTTTTAATATCCAAAAAAGAATTCTTTAATCCACCACCTAGCTTTAATCTTGAATCATTTTAATTCTTAGAAACAATCTTAGCAAAAACCATTAAATATTTAACTAGAATATACTATTAACATAATAATGCTTTCAACACTTAGCTGTAGTACTCTAATAATCTATGTCATTACCAAACTACTCACAATATAATAAAAACTTGCAAGTATGACAAGATCAATGACTCTTAATCAATAATATAATATATTGTGCCTAACCATCATAAATATTAACGTCAAAATACAAAATCATAAGGCACATAAAAGAAAATAAATATCTTAAGTAATTTGAAGAATTATTCCAATGTAAAGTCCATAAGAATTCCATTTCTTCCAAAAGCAACTTCAAGTAAGAGCTTTTAAAAAAATATATATTCATCTTTATAATTTAGAATATTCCAAGTTGGTGTAATTGTATACTTGTTGTTCACAAAGTTAAGCATCATTAGATGTCAAAACTAAACCATTATCAACTTAATAAACCACACAATACAATTCCCTTACAAATTTAGATGTATTGTAATAATCTTGCTCTAAATTATTTTATAGTCTCAATTAATATTTGTAAGACTTTTATATATAATATAAAACTAACAATGTTGTAGCAATACAATGATCTAATGATCTAACTACACAATACAAGTAAGATGGTTCTATAAAGGCCAAAGAAGGCCTTCATCATCACTATCTTTTTTTAACAACATCCACATAGAATAGATAAATTCTTGCAAATTGAATATTCTACAAATACTTCACAATTTAATAGTCATGTTCATGTGTAACAAAGCTCAATAAATTGTAATTGTTAAAAAAAAATTATATCCTAAGACATATCATCTAATTTTTTTATATTAATTAAAAAAATGTAATATATATCAATAAACTATAACAACCAAAGTACTCTAATCTTGAACATACATCTCCACAAATTCCTCATTTCGAGAATTAGCTTGATTTCTCTCCATTACACTTTTAAAATCAATTTGACCAATAAAAAACCAAATAATTCTTAAATAATTAAGATTATTTACACACCATTAGAAAGCTATGCTTACTAATAGTGGCATTGAAACTATACAAAGAATAAAAAATAATGGCAAATATGAATAAAATTCAAAGTAAAGAAAAAAAGATATAACTAAGTAAAAACTTCTAATCAATGACATCCTACACTTCTTGAATCTAACCTTGATAGGCAAAGTTAATATTCTTCAAAAATTTCTAATTCCAAAAACTAAAAAAATTCCAATCTAAAATCACTCTCAATGTTAATTCCATGCCAACATGTTCATATCCTTTTTAATACAACATTCTAAACAAATCAAGACTTCAATGATGATAACAAACACAACTATCATATAATTTACCTCATATAATTTACACCAAGATAATATTATTACTATTAAACTATTCTTAAAATCATTTTCTTAAGTAAAAGAAGTGTTTTCTTAAGTAAAAGAAATGTTTTCTTATTTTACACTCCACATCAAAAAAATCTCTATATACATAAATACCATCACTCTATTCCACAACCCACAAAGCTGTGTCAGCACATGTGTTACCTGCTACTGCATAACCATGGGTGTCGTAGGAACAATAAACCATGCAACGCTTGTCCACAACATCCGCCGTGCTTAGTTTCTTCTACACGCGGTTGTCGTTAATTGCTCCTTGAAACTCAACCAAGTAAAAGCTATTTTGCACCGGAAATAACACATTAAGCCCACTCATCGTTAAGAGATGATCTCTACATGTGCAGTGGTCATCTCCCTCGCTCCTCTGCAACACAAACAACGACTCCAGAGCTCAAATTCGACTTCCGGAGCGAGACCGTCGTCAACAGCAAACTCGCCGGCGTCCCGTGACTGAGCCGCAAGTCCCGTGTGAAAAGGGCAATAATGAGGAGACTTCTCCTATACTAACGAAAATACAGCAGTAATTCCTTCACAGAATGGTCGTGGAAGTGGTCATGTTCTGTGGAAGAATGGTGGTGCCCTAAATCTCGTGCAGCTTCAACTGCCCCTAGAGCCGTAAAAGCTCTTCAATCACTCTTTCGCATTTTGCACCTTCGCCTTCGTCGTGCATCCTCCGCTTCGTTCCTCGATCAACCAGCTCAAGCACCATGGCGGAGCAGGTGCTGTTGGATGTCACATAGTTGATCGTCTGAAGAAGCTATCTTCTTTTGGGAATTTTTGCACTAGAGGTGTGTGATTAGAGATAACTAACTACTTTCTGGAGAAGCACGGAGAGCACAGAAGCCTGTTTCACCTGCTCTAGCCAAAGAGAGCAATGTCACAGAATGTGAGGATGCGTGGAAACGAGAAGAGAGGACACACAGCTTTCAGCGAGCGGAAAGCAAGAAAGTTAGGGTGAGGCCAGTCCAGGCGAGAAAACATTCACTGCATGGCATCAGCCCCGAAGTAGCCGCGTGCACCACGTTGTATACAGCCCTGGAACCGCGTCGAACTATAATAAATAAAAGTTGACGTCGTCGCAGAACCAACCACACAGAAATCGACACAAAATGGTATCCTTGATTGATATCACACGTCGACAACTTGGACTTGGTTCTGGATGATAATACACCACCACCCCATGTGTCCTTCGCATCTCGATTTCTGGATTTCATTCGGAAACAGACAACTCATTCTTTTTACCAATAAGATATCAAAGATTACCATTTTACTAAGATTTCTTACATTTCTGAGTTCAAACAATTTCTTGTAACACTACATTATTTGATCTCATCTTGTAACATTTTTTAATTGTAAGTCATACATTTATTTTTATTAATCGATTTTCCTGACAAACCAATGTTCATATCACTCCAGCTCTTTGACCCAAATCTTCAAATACTGCACTGAAGAAAATGCCTTCCACTGCTCCACACAGTACAGAATAAATTTGAGGTTTGCAGATTTATCTACAAGCAACTCAGCACAAGGAACATGATGGGGTGTCGGCACAAAAAATTCTTGCTCCTCAAACAGGCAAAGAGATGCACAAATTAGTCCGAACAACGACTCAAGTGACTCAAATGGCTATTTCTCAGTACGAAATGGGTGATTTCTTAGGGCTATTCATGAGACCAAAAAACTCTAAAATAGTTGCTGCAGCAGCCATGCTTGGCTTCTCACTATGTTCATCTTCTATAAGCAATGCGCCACTAGAATGCAGCAAACTGCTACTTGGAGGAGATAACATGGACAGCACCTGGTCTGCCGAAGTCCGCTGCAGTTCCTGCATCTGGTGGTCTTCAAGGACTTGCCTGTACAGAAACAAAACTCTTGTTTTGTTTACTCAACCTCAACAATCCAACAGCTACGAGTTCTTTAAGTTATCTAGAAGCACAAGCACTTTGAAAATCAGGAGTGTAGTTTAGAAACGCGTGAATCTAGGCTCCAAGTCCCAGGTTGAGGTAAATTCCACTTACTTCAGAAGAGAAGCGAGTCGCTCAGGTGTGCATTCGCCAAAAAGAGCTTCCGGAACTACGGGTGAATTCAATAAGATGTTAGGAAGCGAGATGTACTCCAACTTTGTGCGTGATTTGATCAGCCACTCCGTAATTGGATTGGCACGGTACGCCACCACACTTGGAACCCTTGCTAACAACAATTGCATGCTCGCTGTTCCCGATGTACACAACCCTGCATCGCTTGCCTTGCAAAGAAAGAAAATACATTAAAATAAGATTATATACACACCAGATAAGCTTTGTAAAACAGCAGAAGTTCAAATCAATCTAGACAACCTGTGGAAGCAAAATCTGAGGTCCTCCTAAATCTTGAAACACCAGGTTTAGGGTTCTTAAATGAAACAACACACGAAACATTTACATTTACAATGAACAGCTGCAGCAAGTAATTTAAACGAAGGTCTAAGCCACTACACCGTCGGTTTCACAGACAAAAATATGAAAGGAGAGCTTGAAACTTACTGCAAACGCATCATATTTTTCGAGATCTGAAGCAGCTGGAACAACTATGGCAGGGATTTCCCATCTGGATACGGATTCTTGTACCATGTTTGTGACAACAGAACTTTGTGCAGTTGGTACGACAGCTTTGATATGCGGATAATCTTCAGCTAGACGGTGCATGGCGATTCTGAACAGTGGCAGCATGCGCTTCACTTCTTGAACGCGACTCCCAGGCAACACACTAATAATTTTTGTCCCTGCAAATGATTAGATCTACTTCAGTGAACACTCGAAATGACTAAACTCAAAATTTCTCCAGAACTGGCAGGCATTTATTTAAGGCCTATTAAGAGAACATTGTTGAAAATATAAAGCATACCAGACTGCACACCGTGTTTTTCTCGAAAATTGGTCCCAAATCCTTGAATCTCCCAGTTCCTTGGTGCGCTATGCTCTGCACTCTGCACATGACATTACTCATCCTCAAAATTACTTCGTGAGCTGAAACAAAACAACACAGAAATATGATGTGCAAGAAAAAGAACTAGAAATTAAGGAGCCTTACTAGAACTAGCAATCGGATGAATTCATGCATGAGGGCTTAGGTACCAGAAGGCCCATACAGGTACATTCATGTAGGCGTCTTCCAGTACAGGATGTCCCACAAAAGTTGCTCCCAGTCCATGAGCTTTACACATCGGAGCTTCGAAGGGCAAGATACACAAAAGGTGGTCAACAAATTCTTTCATACTATCCAACCTCGCATCACCCCCTTTCCATGCCCAGTATGATGGTGCTACGTAGTGCACCAAGAAGGGCGGCTGCTCTTTTTTTTTCTCGTATATGGCTGCACCACAGAAGGCACACGCTGGTCCTTATTAATTTCATGATGCAGAAGAACAGGAATATGAGGAAGAAATCTCTCGTTGTTCGAACATGGAATAAAAACTGATGTATAAGACATGTCTCTTACAATGCTATAATTCAACAGGCACAATGCTTGCAAGCAGTACCAATCTCGAAGTGTCCGAACCCCGAATCATAGAATATCCATTACCTGTCAGGCTTCGAAGCACACGAAAAGAGAATCCTTTCGCGTCCACTGTGACAACTACATGCGGCTCGAAATCTACAGCTTCTGCAACAGTCTGACGGAGCCGCCGCTAATCCATGACACAGCACATACAACATGCATGATAAGTCGATGAACACGTCGACAAGCAAATTGGTTGCACTAACGGACTAAATCCACACTAGAATATTAGATACTCTGGTGAGCAGCGTCCAAAGGGTAGGCTAGAATATTAAGCGAGCACCAAATAGCTGCGTCTCAGCTCACATGGTTCAGACCTAATGGAAATCGATAAGTGCAGAAGGTGTACCCATATGCGAAACATGTGAGGAAAGAGCTCAGCTGCGCCCATGACAGTGATGTCTTCCATCTTGAACACAGAATCCAACCCCTCTTTCTCCATATTAGCTCTGCTTCCATTACCAAACCTCTTGTCAAAATGAAATCATCGAGAAAGACTACGAGAATGGAAAAAGAAGAAAGAAGGAAAATCCCTGGTAGGATTCTTGAACATAATATATCTTAACGTAACTGCATGCGAAAAGTATGCATACACCAGGACGCCAAAGAACCATTACCCGCCTACTCCTGCAAAACGCAATGGCTTTGGTGACAAGCGGCGCAAGGACCCCATGAGTCGACTTCCAATGACATCTCCAGAAGGCTCCCCTGCCACAATAAAAACCCGAAGATCTTCTTCACTATCCCCCGCATCCGATGCCACATTCGACAAGGGAGATGCAAATCGCGGATACTTCTGACCAACTGCATCTGAGATCCTCCATTCGGCAGCACCTCCAAGCGACCTCTTCACAAACAGCAACCCCTGCCGCAACATGAGGAACCCCCGATTCCTTCCTATGTTCATGAAAACCCGTCCCCAAAATCAGCCCTCAACCTAATCGCCCGAATTGCAAAGTACTTTACAACCAATCCGTTGCTCAACGATCATTACTCATACATAGCGATGATTGACATCAGAAATCTTGATAATATGCTGAACTTAAACCAGCTCTTCTTGCACCACAGTGATGTTTCCTGTTGCGTCTAGTTAATTGAATTTGTCTGAACGGAGCGTAATGGTCCTGAACTAATCAAGCATGTGTGACGAAGTTATCTGATTCCATTCAATTGCTATAGTAGTTGTAAGGAATGCAACTTGGCGATGTGGAGCTTTCAAACCCTAAATCACGAAACAACGAATAAAGATTTAGCTATGGATTCTCACTCAGCCTCGCTGTGTGCCAACGCTAGCAACACCTCATCAAGAGTGCCAAAATTGAATAGCCGCAGAGCAAAACCCTGAACAACATTCAAAACAGTAATAATTTGTCAACATTTTATTACCACATGAGGAATCCATCATCACTGCATCCCAAGGCATAAACCTTGTACGCAAAATCAGTCGCAACAGAGCTCACACAAGACCAATTTTTTTTTAAAACGCCTCAATGTCGAACACAGAAAAAGGAACATTAATTCTACTCTTTGACACACTTCACATGAGGATCCCTACACTTACAGCTCGAAATCGCAGGAGGTAAAACAGCTTTGATAGTCCCCCACAGTTGGAAAGCAACCCAAATTTCAAATTTGAGCAGAAGGGATCATAACTTCTCAAGCAAATGGCGAATAGATGCACTAGAAAGCCAGCCGCGGGGTAGAGCTGAATGGTGTTTCACGCTGGCCTTGCCTCGTTGAATATAGCATTCATCCACGCGATAGAAGTTTTCTGCCAATATTCTGCAATTATTCAGTTCCGTACCTCAGAGACTAAATTCTACACCATCAGTCAATTGGATCGCAAGAGATGAAGTCATGGTACACATTCAGTGTCAATCATTTCCTTCTGTAGTTCGTCATATTGGACGATTCGCAACCCAAATTTAACTCCTGTTTTTTGGGATGTCTGTGACGATCTTCGGTGGTGAGTTTTGGGAGGTCTACTCCGATGTACAAAATTATGATTTTTAATTCAGGGTTTTCTTGAGCAGATGTTTCCCTAGACCTCTGATGAACCAAGAGACGTCATGAAATTGCAGGAGTTTCCTACCTGAGAAGGCACACGTGTGTGAAGTACAAGCCATCGATCCAACCGATCAGGCTTGAGTTGTATAGAGCCTGGTTACAAATTCCCTGTTCTCCTCTATTCTTGTCTACTCTTCAACAAGTTGACTTAGTTGTGACTAAACTGCAATCTCGATGTTCCTTGGCGCGGAACATGCGGTTGCAGATATGTCTTCAACAAGGTGTGTAACTACTTGTGGAATTTATTTTATTGATTTGGTTTCAACAAGCAGTTTAGAAATGGTTTTAACGAAAGAATTTTGGCGTACGGGATATGGCGTGGAATGAAAATTTATCGGGCTTATGGTTCATGAAAACGCATGCAGACTTCGAGACCCACGTATTTAATACCCCTCTGAAATACCCAAATGCTGGCCAATGTCTTCATGCGTGTGTTGATTATGTTGTTGGCTAGAAGATGGCCATTACGGCTGCGAACATACCTCTTCCTCTTAGTGTAGAGAAATCCAACGACGTGTGCATTGAGTGAGTCGATGAAAACATCACCTTCTCAAGAAATTGAAGGGGCCCAGACTTGAACTAGTGCTGGTTAAAATTTGCAACATTTCTCTATCAAATTCATCAAGGCTTGAAGCTCATTTGATTCAAGGTTCGTGTGCAAAGTCGAAAGGTTTTTGACGCACAATTGTGATCCTGTTCCACTTGGCATTTTGTTAACAAGAAGCAAACAAAACCCATTTCCCAAAGATGATGAACCAGCGGAATCTGTGTGCCCTAAAACCCTCCCGACAAGATATTGAATCTTCTGGGGCTCGCTCGTGAGCATCCACACAAGATGATTGGGTTGTATCAACTATCAAAATTAATGTCTCCGAACTACTTACCCTTCGACTTGAAGTCAGTGACTAAAATTACTTCAATTCCCGTGAAAAAAGTTAAACATCTCAAGCTTACTCGTGAATGTTCATGATACAAAATGAGAGACCACTCCATCTTACAGAAGATTTCACGAAGCTTCATCGAGTGTAAACGAACACCGTCTGGGGTTTGTCTTCTCCTGACACCACATTTCATTTCCTACCCAAATCTCTTGCTTGGCATGCAACTTCAAGTTTCAATGCGCAGCAGAATCCAAGTTTTTAAGAAGTTGAACCCCAAATAGGTTCTCGTTCATTTTCGGGAAACTCAAAGTTGAAAATGACAACGATCAGGAAGAGATCCAACTTGACATTAACAGCGAGGTGATCGAAGGGTTTCATGATTTTCTACCAGCTGGAGTTTTGATCAAAGGGATTTTTAGGTATGTCGGTGTTTTGTTCATCACCCGTCTTGCAGCTAACACAGCAACAACATAAAGCCAATCCAATTGCAACAGCACCCACTACTCCCAGGACTGAAGCAAGCACAACCACCCAATGTTTTCCATTGTTGACCCCATCGGTTGTTCCTCCGCAACCACTGCAACATACTCTTTGTTTCAAAGGCGTCCCCGTGTCTTCTACTTGACAAATCCCACCATTTGCAACACTGGTTGCATTGTTGCACGGCTGCTGCTCACTCCTCATCGCTGTCTGCAATGGCCCCGTGTGTCACAATCTAGGAAATTGTATTCCACGCTGAACTATGTGCCGACATTTCAGCCCAAAACAGTGTGCGTTACGAGTGGTAGACGAGGTGCCGAGGTGTTCACCTGATAATCGCACACTAAGTTGACGCTTTCGAATGGCGCAGGCAAATTCCCTTTGGCGCTCCGGCTTCCGAGAGCTTTGTACACAAGATCTCTTAAGCTGCCCTCGAGTTGGTCGGGGAAGACATCAATGCCTGCCACTCCGATCAGCCGCCCATCACTTCCAAATGCTGTTCAGAAGCCATAAAAGTTCGTGTGTTAGTGCTCCAAGACAGACGAATAAAGTCTTGGCAATTTGTCTCCAACAGTACCATGATCAAGATCAAATAGACAGGTCATTTAAACATGAGCCTTCGAAGACAAAGGACTCGATGAGATCAAATTAATCCATCTACAGGACTACCTTGATTAGCTGGAATTTAGTCATCGCAATCACCAACCTGGATATGTAACAGTGGTGCCGTTGGAACGTTGAGAAAAGCTTGGATATATACTGCTCCAAGTCGATTGGTTCTTGGCAACAGCAAGATGTGTGGTTGCTAAGAATGTGTAGAAGCTTCGAATGGCCAACAGTGGGTTACTGGTGGAATATGGTTCCAGCACTTCAAAGGTGCCATGCACACTGCAGAGGACGTCGGGAAGCGTTGTGTTCCGCAAAAAAGTATCTAGATCGGAGTTCCGGGGCAACTTGAAGATGAAGATCTTGATACGCAGCGCCAGCAGTTGAGCTGAAGGGAAAATGGTTGCATCCAGGGCTGCAAACTGCCCATCTGTAAAGATTATAATTACCTGCATTATATGTTAACTTTGTAGTCAAGTGCAGCTGACCAGCGAGAGAAAAGCTTGCAAACCACAACTCTCGTCTCATGCCTCAAATAATCAGGTCCAGAAATCATATTGTAACGCCAATATCAGAACCACCCCGGGACACTTACCTTCAAAGTGTCCCTAGGCGTGTCATTAAATGCTTGCACTGCGCTCAAGATTGCAGCAGTGAGGTTCGAGGGGGAGCCGGGCAAAGATCGTATGAGATTCGTTTTCACAATGTTCTCCAGCCCCGCCAATTCGTTCGATTCTTCACTTTCATCATAAGCGTTTGAAATTTGGACCTAGACACAACCAATTCCACCAATTTTGGATCATCTGCGCTGGACAAGCCAGGTGTAGTGAGTATACGTAGCATGAAAGTCATGTGGATTTTGAAGCTTGAACATACAGAAGAAAAATTGTGCGGCCATACACGTGTTCACAGCACATTTCTTTCTGAAAGGCCTCGGCGCCTGGTTGTGGTATTACCTGGGAACCGAGTTGGTAGTACCCACTACTGTTGAATGAACCAACACTGATCAAATCATCTGGTGACACCGTCTTGAAAAGTTTTAGAATAATTTTTGACGTCACTTCCAGAAAGGTTTTGCCACTGGCTAAAGGATAGTCTGGAGGCACTGCATTACCCATACTGTTTCCAGTATCCACTATGAGCTTGAGATGCTTTTGAACAGAAATGCCGCCCTTAAACCTGCATTGGAAATCAGACGTACATTTAGAGACAAGTAAGAAAGCATACATGCCACACCTCCCTCCCGATTTGCGGCTAATTTCATGGCATGGTTCAATCGCAAACTGTAGGATCATCAACAACCATACAATTAGGAAGTAGATTTAGGAACGCTTAAACGCACCAGGGCCGTCGACGAGTTTCGAAAGTGATGCACTTATCGGGCGGTTCTTCCTGCAGTTGCAACACTCCCAGACCGTCAATTAAATCCTCATTATATCCAAACGTCTCGCTAGAGCGTTACAGCTTGTTCAATTATCACCTGGTTCCCGCCTACGATGGAAAAGTCTAACAAGGGCATGAGAAGATAGAGCATCAGAAATAATTCGACGATCACAGTCTACATCCAGTCTGTACATGAATTTTGTGACATAGCGGACATGATTACTTTGATTCTAATTTGACTTCGGCTTAGAAAATGCTGCAAACATCCCAGGCCTGAGTGAGCCCCGGTTACTCAACCACAGATAATGGTGTGTCGACATTCTAGGCTCAATTGAATGTAGGAAAACCATTAAATATGCATAGGCATTCAACAGAAGGCTGAAAGAGAACAGACCCTTCCTGGAAAAGATCTGAAGACTCCGCTCATAGATCCGAAAAAAGTGGATGTGTATGACGTGTTCGGAGAAATACTCTTGAATAAACCATCGAGGTTTCTTTGGAGGCAAATATCTCGAGTCATCCCAGGCAACAACTGTTGACTTGAAGCAGGTGGAGCAAGCCTGCACACCGTTTTCAATATGAATACTGTGCCAGACTTTTAAACACTTGCACAAGAGACTGAACATGTAAAAAGTATTTCAATCAACAAGATTTCAAAAGAACAGTGTAATTATCACCTCCTGTCAATGTCTACTGGAAATGGCTACTGATCAGACTGAAGCAACTTGATCCTTACAAGACATAACTCCGTTGGTAATTGACCTTCATATAAAGATTGCATGATTGGTTGGTCTCTGTGGGTGGACAGATATCATTGACTTCCACTCGAACGCACAGAGATGATTGCAAATCCGCATTCAGAGGGCTGCATACGACTCGTGAACACTCACTCTTGCAATTATTTAAAAGATCTGCAGCCGCAGCAGAAAGTAAGAATTAAAATTAGAGCCTTTTTTGTATCCAGCTTGACAAACAATAGAGAACCGTGGCGGGGAGAAAAACTAACTGAATTTTCTGTAACGAAATCGACTTTCAAGTAAATCAGCCACATCCTAAAAAACAGGGGCTGGCGTCCCGTTCTGTTCCTATTTTAATCGAAGTATTCTCGCTGCAGTGTTTGACAGTTTTGGAAAACCTAGACAGTGTCCAACATAACCATTGATAGTACTCACAGTTGCTGAGTAAAACCACCCAATGGATACCGACACACACGACATGAAAAAGTTAGTTCCGACTCCCCCTTCATGCATCAGGTCAATCCATCGTGAGATGAGAGAACAAATTTACGATTCACTTCAAATTTCGTCGGAATATGAAATTGATAATTATTTCAACGCAAAGGATGGGATAAATTGATATTTACCGCAATTACCGTCGTTCATCGACGCACTCAGAGCAACATTTTTGACGTTCTCCTCACAACGCTTAACGAACTTCTCCCCCTCGTCCTGTGCATCCACGCTAAGGAACACAACACAAAGTACAGACCAGGACAGAAGCAGGCAGCACGGAACACGAATCTGATCCTTCGCCTTCATCATCTCGTTCTTCCGTGACGTAAATGAAACTGTACAACTTGCTTATTCAAAGACCCCACAACACAGACATCACTATTCCTCGTCGGTTACACAGCCAGTGGGGTTAGCATCTGCAGTGATTCTGCATTGGAGATGGTTGTTGAAACCCGCTCCTTCAGATTTGGGAGCTTAAAACTGCCCCCGCCCACCCTAAACCAAACGGATTCAACGATTTCGAGTCTAGATTTGGGTCCCGTCGGCAGTAGAGATCACCTCCCACGTTTTCCCCATCGACAAGAGAACGAAATGAACTTCTCACATCACAGGCTCAACTGCGCATTCGCCGCAGAGTGTGTGAATTCAGCGGAGCAACAGAACGATCACGTCGTAGATGCCGATTCCAACTTGTGAGTGAAGATGCTTCCAGCTCAGAAGCTAAATTTAGACATCCCACGCAGCATTGACGTTGTCCGGCGATGATGCGATGGAATCCGCATCAGTGCTTTCGACATTGTTTTCAGTCTAAGCTAATGGGCCGATGCGACATCAGTTTAAGTCGATCTAGTGATTATTTCTGATTTGGCTTTTACGTTTGTTGAAAGAAAGGGGCCACAAGAAGTGAATGAAGAGTGAATGAATGCTTTAATAAATATCAATGTTGAGTTCTAATGTTTTCATAAATTTAATTAGTATTGGTATTGAAGTGTAGAATGACATGATTTATGACCGGGTGGAGGCCCCAAACCCCCCCCAGCGAGTGGCTACACATCTCCCCCCCCCCCAACAAATGCACAAGCAAAAAGTCAGCTCGGCAGACAGTCCAATGACGCACCTCCAACAGTACCCTAACGTACTGCTCGCATTGTCCACTCTTTTCCACATATTCCAACTGCATACCTTTTGGCCTTCGGCGTTCCCTTGTTCTATAATTTGTAATTTGTCTACCACAACACCCAGCTTCCCTAATAGTACTGTATTCAACGGGTCATAGCTCGGCCATAGTCTGTGACAAGCATTGGCGCCATTGCAATTCTTCTCGCCAATACTGCTGGGCTTTCTGCACACAGTATCCGCGGTAGAATTTGACGGCCATGCGAAGCTTTCGTATAAAACTAAGACGAGGGTGAGAAGACCATAGGGTTTTGATTTGGCATTGGACAGCCTCATTTGTTAAATATATAGCACTCATTTAAAATGATGAAGTGCGTCAAACATCGCAGCTAACTGGATCGAACAGCAGACCGGTAAGTGGTCTGCAAAAGTGTCTCCCAAAGTGAGACGTAGCCGCAACAACAACAAACACGAGCCTAGATAGTGTGAGTGATTGTCTCACAACCAGAATGAAGGCCGAGCTCCGGACCCCAATTTTGTGCGAGAGCTGAACAAAGTTGTGAAAAACATGGCTCCAGGGAAAGCACCAAGGCCGGATGGGATAATATCGGAATTCTTTAAAACCTTTTGAGATGTTATTAAACACAATTATCCTGCTATGATAACAAAAGTGAGTAGTCAATCTCATTGGGCATCACACAAGGTCTTATCTCCTTACTATTCAAGAGTGGCACAACAAAACAACTAACATTTTGGCCGTCCAGTACCCTCTTTAATGTTGCCAATAAACTCTTTGCTAAGATATTACAAATCTACTTTTAGCCAATGCTCATGGAAATCATTTCATTTGATTAGTCAATTTTTCTACTAATGTATTTTATTCTAGATAACATCCTTCTTGTATATGAAACCATAGATTAGGCAAACCACTCAATTCAAAGCTAAGCAAGGATTCAAGATATGCTCATGCATTGCCTCTTTATAGAGAGCCCTAGTAAAAGATGTGCAACAAGTGACTCCATGTATAATAAAACAAGTAGCAAATGAACCTTTTTGGAGCTACATTTTCAAAACTTTGAGCATCACAACCCCACAATGTAAGATTATGGTATATTAGAGATGCCTAAAAGGACAATTGATTCTTTTTAGCTTGTTTCTCAGTAGACAATCTAGATAAAAAGTCAAGCAAGCGAAGAGGCCAAGTTGCTTTGATTATTGTGGCACCAAGCTATTGTGGTCAACACATGGAGAGGTCAAATTAATTGCATCATCTCTTTTCCTTGCTCCATCTATAGTAAAGTCATCAAGACATTTTTTCCACATTAATGGAAGGAACTCTCTAGTGGATACTTTCCAGCTATATTATGAGGATTTGCTTTTCAACCACTATTACAGCACATAAATGCCTTGACATTGATCTTCAACTCGGGTCTATGACTCAGCAATTGCCTTTGGCAATTTCAAATCAGTTGGATCATTTTTTGTTTTATCTTTTAAGCTGTGTTTAATAAATCAGTTAATTTTACTTGAGTCACTTGTAACTGGGTTGAATGTATTTTATGTTTACAAAAAGAAATGAAGATTTTATTTATTTCTTTTAAAAAATAAAAATAAAAATAAAAATAAAATAATATGATTGTAGTGTAGAAGAATTAATTTTTCTTCATATTCAATGTATCAGTAGAAGATGATTTTTAAGAAGAAATTTAAACTATATCATATTATATTATTTTAAAATTGATTTAAATAATATTAAATCAATCTGAATTTATAATTGTATAAAGTATTCTTTTTTAATATATATATATATATATATATATATATATTTTTTAAAAAAAGATAAAAAACCATAGACAAAATTTTATCAATTACTATTGAGATTTCATAACAAGACTCTCAACCATTGACCTTCTACTTCTTAAATTTGGATTTAATTTTTATTTCAAGTTATTTTAAATTACTATACTATGGCCAATTAATGTAGACTTCTTTTAATAAAAAAATCTCTTATTCTTTAATAGATATATCTTATTTTGATAAGAATTAAAGCATAAGTTTTTAGAAAATAAATATTTTTTTATTATTCTTCTTTAAAATTAAAAACACATAGAAATGCAATAAGTCAATTAAATTTAAACCAAAATAAAAATTTGTAATATTTAAAGCCCACAAAAAATTATGATTTTGAATATTCTTAATTCTATTACTTATTAATTATTTTTCTATGGTATAGTGTACAAATCCAAAATACACTGAAAGCATTGTGTGTAAAGGTTATAGAGCATCAAATTGCAGATATTAAGATAGTTTTTATTATTATAAAATATTAGTTTTTATTGACCTACAAAATTAAATTTACAATCTCAAAAAACTTGATGATACAAGTTTCTCTATTACTTACAAATGATATATATATATATATATATATATATATGTATTTTAATTTTAATTTTTTATGCAAATTTTGCATATAAACTTAAAATCAATATATTATAAAATTTACTAAAGGCTATGTTATTTAGCAAAATTTTTATAGCTAATATTTTATAACAGAATAATAAATGAAAAAATTTCAAAGAAAATTTTAACTTGTTTGGATGCAAATTGAGTCACTTCTATACTATTTATCTTATTATAAATATAAAAAAATATGATTTTTCTTCTCTTTTATCTATAGTCATTAATTTTCTCATGGATGCATTTATACTATATCTATTTTAATAAATCACATCACATGATTTTTTTTAAATAAAAAATAATTATAATTTATCTTACATAAGTAAATGACATTTTAAAATCCAATCTTCTTATCTTTGTCCTTCACTTAATTTGCCAAAAGAATGGGCCTTGTTTTATTAGCTTTAATTATGCTATTATCTTTTATAAACATTCTTTAGACAAAATAATTTTTTAATTTTAAAAAACCTCTTCTTTAAAAATAATATATAATATTTCATCTAAATCAAAATTGAACTTACAAAAATATATATATATATATTTTTATAAATATAAAATTAATTTATTAAAATCATAATGAATATTTATTTTCTTATTTTAAAAAATCCTACTTTAGGTGAGTTATTAAAGATATGCTTAAATCAACCACAATTGTAATATTTTTTTACATTAAGATAGTGATTTGGAAAAACACTTATATTTTATATAAAACAAATATAGACTCTTCACTTAGTTATTTATTCTTTATTTTTTATGTCACTTTATACATCAACTTAATGTTGCATAATCCACAATAAGATGCTTTATTAGTATATATTTAATAATAATAATAATAATAATAATAATAATAATAACAATAATAAAACTTGTGTATAAATTTAACAAACTTATAGACAAAGTTATTATCCCATTCAAATGTTTAACAAAATTATTTGTAAATATGAATCAATTCGTAAATATTTTGATATAAATCAACATATTTTCATTTTTTTCATTTTTTACATAAAGAATTTGAAATACATAAAGGTAAATTTTAAAGTATTATAACTTTTGTAGATAATTTTTTAGATTCTTTAAGTTGTTACAACTCTTTTTTTACAAGTCATGTGAGAAAATATTTGTTTGTTTCTTATTGCTTAATTTTTTTGATTTTGTAATATTTTCTTATCAAATAAAATGTTTTCTTAAAAATTAAAATTTGAAAACAGTAAATTTATACTATTAATACATATATTAATATTTTTATAACATATCAATTATTTTATTTAATAATTGTTTACACTAAAGAGAATTAATTATTTTCTGGCTGATTATCATTTATCAAAGCTTATCTAAATAGAAGATTCTATCTACCAAATGTTACCATTAAATAGAAGATTCTATCTACCACATGTTAACCAGTACCTATAAGATTCAATGCAGCTAGCAAGGAACAAAATCCTTCGTTTTATTCAAGTTTCTACATTCTAAGAAAAGGACATGAATTAGAAAGACTTTATTTGTCTCACTTCCGCCTATAATAAAGATGGTTTTTTACAACTGAGAGGTCCCCACTTCAATCCTGACCTTTGATAGATCATGTGATTTTGCAAAGGCTTTATTTGGAGCGACTCGAATACATTGAAGACATGTGCAATGGATATGCCAAGGGTATCATACTTCTTGAGTACTTAGGAGTTGTAAATTGTGGAGTAATGTTGGACTTTTGTTAGGGAAGTAAAAGAGAATGCTTAACAATTGATTATAGACTTCCATAGAAACTCGTTGAGAAATTATGTTCAGAGCACGAGTTTACCTGGATGTGAACAAGTCGATGAGGTGTTGTTACTTAACTTGGTTCAGGTCAAATTAGTCGTGGTACACTTTAGAATTTGGATAAAATAAGAAAATTGGTCAGCCTAAGTTTTATAAGGAATATACAAAAATGACTTGTATATATTTAGAAGAAATCACATTCTAGACAAAACATTAGGTTTGTAGATAATTGTGAAATCAATTGCTAAGTATTGCATGTGTTTTGATGTTTTGAGGAAATAAAAAATTAAATAATCTCTTGTATAGTCAAATGATGGCTATAAGTATGGATGTATGTGTAATTCTT